AAAAAAACAAAAAAATTTTTTTAAATAAATAAAAACAATTGACTAAGCTATATATCATGGTAGTAGGAGAATTATAATATACCAGGAAACTGAAGTTGTTAACGTTTTTGAAGAAATATGTAGTTACCCAGTCATGATTTGTCACGTATATTATAAAGGTGTAAAAAGTATTTTTTCAAACAGCTTAATAACTTTTACAAGATATGCACAATTTATAACAAAAAAAGCTTATTCTAACTACCTTACCCGAAAGCTCAAGCTTCACCGGCAGTGTAAGGGGATGAAAGCCAACGTTCCTTCCCTATCGCGACATCTATATTGCAGAGAGGGGTCGGGAGAAAGAAATTCCCGCTTCCTACTTCTCCTTGATTGAGAGAGAGAAAGAGAGAGAGAGAGATCAGTGCAAAAGTGCGTAAATATTAAGTACTAATCTACGCTGCGTTAATTTATTTTTTTGAGCTGTAAGAAAATTGCTATGCATGAAGCACGCGTCCAACTCGGGTATGACTATAAATTTGTCGTGTAATGCATTCAATCTCTTTTGGTAATACGCAACGTAGTAAATTTCTAACCTCAATCTAAATATAGAAACAATGATTTAATGACTGTTAGAAAATCTTATGATACTTAAACATGTGACTTTTGTAGCAACCGATGCCCAGGAGCCTAAAAAATAATTATATTAGCGTAAAAACGTTATAATGTTATTGATATGCAAAAATATGTATTAAATGATAAAATTTGTAGGATATTATTTGATACCTTATCAAATTTAAAAGATTTTTAATGAAATTTAGTTGTTCTGATCAATTTCTTTTACTTTTCAAGCCTGTCAACATCCGCTAACCAACAACCCTCACTTTGCTCAGATTATAAATGTTAACGGATGACAGGCCCTACACTTTTATCCTAAATATATCCTATCACAACTGAAGCTAATTGTTTTCTGATGGCTTATGTTAAAAACTTGTGCTTGAAAAACTTGTACGAAACTTTTTAATTCGTTAAAAATTTAAAAATGTATTTTTAAATCTTTAATTTAAATCTTTACTAGCTTTGAACAAAGTTTTTCCAAACTTTTTCGAAAGATGATTTCTTTTTCCTAAAATACCTATCAATTTCTGATAGTTTAATTTAAGTAAAGAAAGTTATTTCCAAATTTTTGACAAGTAATAAACTTTTTGTTATTAAATTTTTCAAGATGAAAAGAAAATTTTACTGTTGATAAGAATATACTACTAAATTCATTTAAGGAATCACACCTTATTTTTTATGTAAATTTTAAACTTTATTCGATTTCGTGATTATTTAAGTTTTTTATAACAAATGATTGTCCATTTACTACAGCATAATAACAAACATTGAAAATATTTTCCACTTCTAAAACTATATGCTCTTGCGTTGATTCACATCTGAAAATAAAAGGTAAGGAACTATCAAGTTTTTTACAGTAAAAATTTGTTCCACTATGCATTTTCTGATTACAGCATAACATTTACATCTATCAGTACAGTTTTGACCAAGAATACATGGGCATTGGCAGATAAGGATAAAGTTGTCTTATAAGCCGAAATAAATATTATTATTTACTCTGTACTGAACGCAAGAAGATTGTGTCGTTTTATTTTTAGAGTAAGACATAGTTTTATAATAAGTACCATGACTTACAAGCCAACTAAAAAAATGACTCTCGTTTTTATTACACTGAATATTTCTTCTTTCAAAAAAATTTAAAACTACTGAATCGACCATTATTTTCGTAATTTTTCTGACAGCAAAAATATCGTTACGGATAATTTCCAGTTTTCTTCTATGAGTATCTCTCTCTTCTACTCTTTTACAAAAAAACTAGCATCACTATCTGTTTTTAATAATTTTTCTTTCATTTCTGTTAATTTCAGATAACTCATTATTGAAGAAGAAATTCGAAGTTGAGGATTTTTTGATCCAGGAACACACTTTTCAAAATTCCATTTAAATTTTCAAATGTAAAACAAGACATAGTCTACAGTGGTCCAAATTTTTTAACTTCATCTGTTAAGTGAAGGAGTAAATGAATATTGCAAGTCATGTATTTTTTCCGTACACTACTCCAAATTTTTTCACAAATTCTATTAACACTTGCCCAGCTTGATCAATTATCTGTTCACCATCACTTGAAGAATTCAAAAGAGAAATACCGTAAACTAATAATAAGAAATTATCATAGTATTCTGATTTCATTAAATTTCTTACGACTGGTAAACTGTATACGAATAAAAATATCTTAAATTCTGAAGCTTTCCAAAAGCAATATTCAGAAATTTTTCTAGAAATCCTTTGAAAAAATGATGGCAGTGTTATGTAGGGAAGATATTGGTAAGAAGGTGCTTCGTGAGAATGATCAAAACTTATTATTTTAAGGACCTTTATTCAAGATACCGTAATCATAGGCAAGGTAGCACGTGTGTTCCCTTCAAAGGCTCGTCGTGTACTCTCCTGATAGACTCTCTCCTTGCTCGGGCTTCCCTTTCCTTGGCCCTAGGGCCCCTCGTTATGAGGTTTGAAGAGAGGGAGCGTAGAGTCTTACCTATACTATCGTACATTACACGTCCAAGGCCGTGACGTCACCGCCCTCGACGACACTGACTTTTCAATTTATATAGTGTTGAGTCTGTATACTTGTTTTCGGCTTGATGTGTGTGTGTGTGTGTTTGTGTTGTATTCTTTGCATTCTGTTGTCTGTGTTGTTTATATAG